CAGAATTCAACTGTAGGTTGAGGACTTTCTATCACATCCTCCTCCCTTCTGTCTCTCCCTCCACAGTTACCAGATCCACATCACGGACTGAGGCTCTCTCCAAGGATTTCTTTCTCCTACCCACTCATCTTTCCTAGGTTTTACTCACAAGAAATCTCTTGCCTTTCCAATTCTCTCTTGGCATCTGCTTCCTGGAAACTCAAACTGGCATACTGAGTTTGGGTAAGCTTCTTAATTTTTTTCTTCACCTTAAAACGAAGTGGTAATTGAGAGGTAGTTAGAGATAAGTCATCATTCTCAGGCCCAAGTTAAAAAGTTTACAGTTTTCATAAAAAGTGAAATGAGAAGAATAAAAATTACTGGTTTTTCTTCATATTGAAAACAAACACGTTTCTTATATATCTAATAAAATATATGCTTACTTATCAGGTCTTTCTTGTTCATAAATTGAGGGAACAACAAGGTAAAATTAATCACTACCTTCCAAGAATAAATAGCTTTTATCAATCCTAAAAGCAAAATTGTAAGCAGAAATTTAAATTGTAAACATATTGTCCTCAGTCTACCTAAAAAGTAAAACAAAAACACAAAGCTACAATGTGATTATTACTTTACAAAGCCGTGGTATATTGTCCATACACTTTTTCTAAGTGGTAATCAGTGTGGGATTTAAGTGATATTGATCAATTTTTATGTTTCCATCACATGTGGACATGATCTTTCATTAAAGATGACATGCAATACTCTAATCAGATAAATTTCATCCTGCTGCTCCAGGGCATGTTACCAAAGAAAGCTAGAACAAGCTTGATTTTTGTTTACGAGACAGCAACCAGAATATTATGAATGCTCAATTAATTTTAGACTATATTAATGCACTTTAAAGCGGATTTATGGTATTAAAAAACATGACACACCCTATTCAGAAGCAGTGCTTTTTCACTAATGGAAAATTTTTTGGCAACTGCTCTGTTTCCATGGATTTATCATTCTAATAGAGTTTGAAAATAAAACTCAGCGTTTGCCAAAATCTCATTTATGCTTTATATCAACAACATGCCCTTTATCCCTGTGCGTGTGTTTGGGAAATAGAAAAACAGTCCCAATTAGTTAAAAATATACTAATTAGAACTCTAAAGAACTGATCTGGGGAAGAGATGTGTGGGAGCTGACACCTAACATACTTTATATTTATGAAAAAGAAAAAAATTCACAGAATCCTGAGGAATTGAAATGAAGCACTTTCAGAATACATTTGGAAGAGTATGGTTCAAATTTAATCAAATAGGATAGTTCAATCAACAAGCTACATTCCAAGACATTCCACTCATAGAAACAAGTATATCATACATATAATTTTTTATTTCTGGTACCACAATAAAAAGACTAGGAGGTTGCAAAATTTAAGCTCCAGTTAATTAAAAAATCAAATCAACAACCTGAACACCCTTGCTTAAACAAGTAGCTTTTAATTTTAGCTGAGCATTAGCATGATTGGAGGAGCTTTCCAGATTCACAACACTCAGGTCCTATACCAGGCCAATTAAGTAAGACTTACGGATACTTTTTTGGAAACATCAATGGGTGAGTCTAATATGCTGTTGGTTTGCATCTAAAATGTCTCTCAGAAGGCTGTTTTGAAGCCTTTGATCCCCAATGAAGCAATGTTTAGAGGTGGGGATTTGGAAATTAACCGATTCATAAGAGCTCTGCTCCGATGGATGGCTTAATCTTTTGACAAATTCATGATTGGATGGACTATTGGGAGGTATGGAAACTGTAGGAAGTGGGGTTTAGTTGGAGGAAGTATGTCACTTTGGCTATCCCCTGGAAAGGGGACACCTTGTCCCTGGCTCTCTTTCTCTCTTTGCTCCTTCCTTTCTCCCCATTCTTCTACCTCATTCTCTTTCCTGGGATGCCACGAAGTGGGGAGTTTTCCTCTACTACTGTCTTCCCATCATTATGATCGGCCTCATCGGAAACCTACAGAGATGCAGTCAAGCATCCGGGGACTTAAAACTCTAAAATTGTGAATCAAGATAAATCTTTCCTCTTTTAGGTTTATTTTATCAGGTATTTTGCCACAGAGATGGAAAGCTAACACAGCTGTCAAGACTGAGAGCCACCATCTTGGATACTACAGCTCAATTTTAAACCAGATTCATTTAAGTAACAAGTTAAATCAATACTGATGATGGAAGTGCATTTACCAAATGACTTAATTTTACCACAGTCTTTAATAAAGAATGAAATCCAAATGCCTGGTTAACTTTATATCTGACAACCTTTTAGTCCTGGGAGTAGCCATGTTACCCAGCTCTTGCAGAGAAATAGGAGTCTTCTGTGAGAAGAGCAGAGCCCACCCAGAGAAAAGAAAGTGTATTTCATTTTTTTCCTATTCCTGTAGCCCTGAATTCTGCTATATATCCTGAAACTGAGGTGTACCTCTAGCATTCAGAAAGCAACAAATATAGGATCGAAAAGTTAACATGTTGAGGGTGGTGGCTGGCTGGCTTGGGTCTTCGATAACATTGTAGCAATCAACTGAAATGCAGCAATCAACTATTGTTAGAACTCTTGTTATGTGAAGAAAATTAAGGCTTAATTCTCTCTGAACTGAACTATCCATTATTTGCAGCTGAAAATATTTCTAGTGGATATACCTTGATTCTTTCTTAATCTGTGTATCACTCAACATTTACTATTGGTTCATGTCTGTAATTCCAGAACTCTAGGAGCTTGAGACAGTAGTTCAAATTTGAGCCCAAGCTGGACAACTTAGTAAGTTTACTGTAACAATGTAAAGAATAAGAAATAAAGGAGGTTAGAAACATAGTTCAGAGTGAAGACATCAGGCTCATTCTCTAGTACCAAATAAAATTACTGTCAGCTAAGAACTTTATAGACATTATTACTCTTGATCCAAATAGCAACCCACCCAAGTAAGCTGTATTATTGTCACTGTACATATGCAGAAACTGAGGCCCATACAAGTTAACTATATTGGCCATCACTATACAGAATGTGAATTTAAAGTCAGATTCACTTGATTCCAATGCCATTTTTTTTTTATGGGAAAGCTACAGGAATGTTGCTTGCTAATCCAATTGCTCTAATTGAACTTTATGCTACCTCATTCAGGAAGAGCATCTTATTATTGTAGGCAGATGCGCTGTGTTGTACACTTAGATCATTAAATATCTAAAGAATTAATAGGTTTAGTGGGTTAAAGGCAAAATTCCAGGACACATCTTTTTTGTGGTGCTGTAAAAGCACAAGCTATTTTCTACTCCAAAAAATGACACGTAAATCAATCTAATTTTGATAGCACAGGAGACTTGATAACATTATGAATGATAATCAAGAGCTATGGTATATGATGTTTGTCTTTCATTTGAAAAGGCAAATGAGTAGCAAGCTTTTGGTTTTATGTTTAAGGCAACTGCGTGGACATGTATTCCACTTTATGGAGTGCTGCTCTCTGTGGAGTTGAACACAGAAAAGTGTCTATCCAGGGACTGCGTGGTAAGGTATAGTTTATGATTTCTTGTTTTGGGTCAGAATTTGTCAGAAATTTCAAGGTGTCTAATACACACACTACTATACTACTTGCCCAATAAACATTATTGATGGGGCTGCTGCAAATTCTTGCTTCATGTTTTCTTTCCTTTAGCATCCACCAAAGAACTAACAGGTTAGTGGAAACAGTCCCAAGGCTGCCATACTGCATTTAGTTAGGCCCATGGAACTAAAGCTGGTATTTCTCCACTTTTTTTCATAACATGAGGAGAAAAAAAAAACAAGAAAAAAATCTCTTCAAAACCGTTCAGATGAGATTTAAACACAAAACAAGCATTTATAAAGCTTTTCTGTGCTGAGTAGTGAGATAGTTGCTTACAAAGTAAAGATAGCTTCCTATCTCTGAAAAACATACAGCCTAGTATTACAGTTTAAGCTGAATGCTTCGAACAGCAAGAAGGAGTGACATGGAAGATAATAAAATCCTAAGCCCCATACATCGGAGAGTCAAGTATTATTTTTTCAACTCTACAGATGTAGTGGGCAGAATGGTCTTCCAAAGATTTGTACATGCCATAACCCTTGAAACCTGAAAAAGTAACTTTATTTGGAAACTCTTTACAAATTCAGTAGAATCTGAGATCATCCTTTTGAGCCTCAACACCAATGACAAGGATTTTTACCACAAAAACAGAGGAGATGGACAGCTGAAGAGGTAGGGGGAAAATGCACTCTTGCAAGACAACACTGGGAACAACCGGAAGTAAGAGGCTTTCAAAAGGTACCTGGTCCAGCCAAAGTTTGATTTCAAATTTCTAACTACTGGAGTGTTCAAGCATAAAATTCTGTTGTTTGACAAGATCAAGTTTATGCTAGTTTCTTTATTTTATCTTAACTATATTAAGTGGAAAATGGAAAGATTGCAGTACGCAGGAACAAGCACATATTTAAAATGGCAAAGATTTATTGAGAAATTTTTCGTGATCATTTACTGTACTAAGCGCTTTGCGTCTACGACCTACCTCTATTGTATTGATCAGGGAACTAAGCATCAGAGAAATTTAATAATTTGTCTGGAGCACACAGCTAGAAACAAACAAATCAGGTTTGCAATTCAAACCTGATTGTGCGATAGCTCTTTTCCTCTCCAAGCTACACTACTCGGAAAAAAACGCAATGAACACACTCCCAACAGATTAGTATCGTAATGATATTTCAGCCTACAGAAATTAACCATCGCTTTAGTTGTTGGCGGGCGTTCTCTTTCAACAACATTATCAGCCCTTCAGAGAAGGCTCTTGCGGACACGGAATCTACGGGGTTAAACTCGTCACTTTCAAGCGCCACCGAGGCGCCCTACGCCGGACGGTGCCTGCCAAGGGCCAAAACTCGCTTAGCGTAGCCCTCGGGCCTCCATAAATCTGTAACAGAAGCGGACCAATAGAAACGCCGAAAATCCGTATCTCCTAATAAGCGCCACCCCTTAACCCCAGTAGGCGGAAGAATAGGAAAAGTGGATTGTGGGTGGATCGAGAAGAGGAAGCGGAAGCGTCGCTTCTCAGTCGGCCGCCGGTGTCTGGCTCGGCCCCACGTGTGCAGAGTGCGATATCTCAGCGGTCGCCCCGGAGAAAGGCTCATCGCCTTGTTGGCGCTGGAGTCGGGGTACTCTCTCGGGGAGGTGGCGAAGGGTGAGCTTTCTGACTTCTCGCTCGCGGAGTAGTCTTCTGTGGTGCTTTTTGTAGGCTTGGAGTTTGGAAATTGACAGAAACTTGGGTAGGAGGGCAGAGCTACGACTTCTTTTCCGACCACCTGGCCTTGGATGTTGAGTTAGACCGAGGTACCTTCGCTCAGAGGTCCAGACCTGAGCTAGTTCGGGTCAGTCTGCTCGGCTTGTGTTTGACAGAGATCCACTCTGCATCCAGTCAGTGCTAGGTACTGAGGTTGCATCTCGAATGTACAGTTGTTGGCTGAAAGCGCTTGAGAAAGAAACACACTCTGGGTAATGAGTTGGAAGATGGGGAGGGACTGGGGGTGGAAAAAGTGACCCCCTACGTCGAAACCCAAAGCGCAGCAGGACGCAACCCTGAGATCGGAAACCTCTGGGAAGAGTACTTTAAACAGAATCAAAAAGGGCCAAGTCTGAGGTAGGAGCTGGCATGGCAGTATAGCAAAACAAAGTAAAGTTAGAAAGAAGCAGAGAGTTTTTGTAGTTCGTTGGGGGCTATACTGTTTTTGTTTGCATGCAATAGGAAAGTTTCGTGTTATTTTCAGGTGTAAAAGACATCGAAAGCCTGTAAACAAAAGAGTGACCATGATAGACCCTGGTTCTCTTTAGAAAATGTATATAATTTGTAAGGTCAATAAGGAGATTCTCGATGGCTTGTATTACACTGGTGGTAGTAGAGACAGAAATTGGAAAGTTAGTTATTAAGGGAATTTTAAGAAAACTTACTGATGGATTAAATTTGAAATATAAAGGAGAGACAAATGTCGAGTGATAATTCAGGTTTCTTGTTTGAGCAGTGAAGTAAATGATGTACCACTGGCTGATGTGGGGAAGAATTGGGTAGGGAAGCAGATAGATACTGTTTGAGAGTGATTTTCAGCGGAAGATAGCGGCTTACGTCAAAACATAGCAGATGGTAAGGTGCTGGTTAGGTGTATAATCAGGAGTGTTAGGAATTCACAGGTCTGGAACTCAAGGCAACGTTTCTAATGGAGAAATAATTTGGGAGTCCTCGGCATAGAAAGCCAGGGTACTAGAGGGGATCACATAGCGGAGTGGGGAGGTTTTAGAGTTCACTAAGACGAAAGACTTCAGGATTGCCTAAGGTTACACACAGTGTTTACTACTTTGCAGTCACATTGCTAGGCCTGCTGAGCGGAATGGAAGACCATTCATATGATCAAAAGTACATTGAGTGTTTAATTTTTTAAGAAACATTACAGTAAAATACACATTGTGATTAAACCCCTTTAAAACATTCCCCGTCACTTCAAACTTACCCAGCCCATTGTTCCTGTCACTTCGTGAAGCAAGTCTGGAAGTCCTTTTGCTTGAATAGCTTCAGTTTTGTACTATCATGGCTCCTTTGATACCATGAATTGATTAAAAAACATATCCTTTTCATGGTCATTTTGAGTCTGAGGAGGGTGGAGAGGTCACAGTGCCAGGTCTGGTGAAAATACAGACAAGGACTTACCATGTTTTGCTAAGCCAGCCTTTCTATTGGATCGCATGCAGCTGCAGTATTCACCATATTTTTGGTCCTATTTTACGAGTAAAAACACAGAGAACTGCTTTACAAAGTGGCAAGAATAATGGAATAAGTGTGGCTGAAGTGAGGGAGAGTATCTTGAGGGAGATTAGCAGCAATACTGTCTTTTACTATAATAATTTTTTTTACTGCAGTAAATTTTTAAAAATTCAAGCATTTATTGTATGTTTTGATCATACTGTGTATGTTCCTCCATCTCGGGAAAATCTGATATGATACTTAATTCCACTGTTTTCATATTTTACTTAGGTCACATCTTGAATTTTTTTCCATTTTTTTTTCAATCTGGTACCTGTATGGCACATATAAGTAGGTATTCAGTAAATTTGGGTAAGAGATAATAGAACCATCCATGAATAACCTTGAGCCTAAAATTAAATTTTGAAAAGTCCATTAAAAATCTGCCATTGGGAAGAAAAGGAAAGTAGCATGGAAAAGAGGGGAGGGCATATAGAAGAGAAATTACAAGAAAATGTCATTTAAGCTGGATTTGAAGGATGGATAGAAATTCTGTTGATGGAGTTTTTTGTTTGTTTGTTTTTGTTTTTTAAGTTTGGAGCCTGAAAAAAAATAATGAGGAAGTTTGGCTCCTGTGTAGTGTTTATAAGTTGGGTAAATTAGGACCAAATTTTGGATGGCTGTGAATGCCAGTGTGAATTGCCAGGGTTAAAGCAATTGGAGCATAAACATGCCATACTGATATACATAAATAGATGGAAAAGATGGGCAGATCTCTGCAGAAGTCTCAGTGATCAAGACAGAAAAAGGAAGAGAAATAGAAAATCTGTACACAGTAGAAATCTGCAGCCAGAATCTACTGAATGCTAAAATTAGTGGCAGTACTGTTAGAAAGCACAGGGTACAGTTATGTCAGTCGTGTACCTCTTGGTATGATGCTATTGGAAGAGGACTTCTCTGTGGCATTCTTACAAAAATATCCATAACCTCAGTCCAGTTGTGAGTCATACCCAGATACAAAGGAGACATGACAGCTATTCATTTAAATATTAAATTCAGTGTATTGTATATCAGAATGAGGGCCTTAGTGGGAAACCTGTTGAAATCCAAATCGTTTATACTAGTATTTTATGAATGTTCATTTCTTAGTTTTTGTCATGGTAAGTTGTAAGCTAGGAAAGAGCCTAAAACAAATATACAGAGAAAAATATGTAAATAAATGTGTTACTACTAAATTACATGTACATAAGAGATTAAGTAAATATAGTTGTGATGGCTTTAGCCAAGTGGTAAATTTATCTACCATGCTAAATGTCCTGAGGGAGTTCAGTGAGTCAAGTGCTAGCCATTTCTCAGAATCAGGTTAATAAAATCTAGGTAAGAAGCCCATGTTTCAGAGTACTCCCTGGACCCTTACCATTCCCTTGAGATGATCCAGGAAAAAGTGATTCACCTAGGTTCAGGAAATCCTGCGTACTTCTTAGCCTTTGCTTGGCAGTGTATCATTAACATTAGGAAACTAAGAAATCTGAAAAGCTAGTCCTCCTGGTTGATTATTATCTTTTAACTTACTGTTTCCCAAATACATTTCAACCCAAACTGCTTCTCTTTTCTCTTCTGTACTGAGGATTGGACCCAGAACCTTAATGCTGCTAGGCTAGTGGTCTGCTCCTGAGCTATAGCTCCATTGACCCCTATTTAAACTTGTTTTTATTTTGAGAGTGTCCTGAAATTATCTAGGCTGCTCACTTCCCAAGTAGCCAAAATTACAAGTATATATCACTATACCTGTTCTTTTTCTTATACCTGTCAATATCCACAGGAATTAGTTCTGGAATGGAAAATTTTAATGTAGAAATGTAATCTAGAAATACTGTCTGTGACTCCTAACGTCAACTCTTTAAGGTCAACTTTAGAAATGAGCCTAATAACCTTTGCCCTATCCTGCTTTTTATAAGGGTCTTGGGTAAGTGAAGGATTATCTGAAGTCTGTCTTGTGCACTATGGGATCTCGATAGTAAAATGACCTTTTAGGTAAATTTGTGTAATAAAATATTAGATGTTTCAACATGATTTATTTTGGAGTTTATTATGAGTTACTTTGTGCTTCTTAAACAGATTAAACATTGGATAGTAACTTCGGTTTTGTTATGTTGAGTTACATAGGGATCTTTTAGATAATCCTTTTCTTTGTTTCATTGAATTTGAATGTGTGGTAAGTACAGCCTACTGTTTGTTCCTAGCTTTTTAGTGTAGAGACCAAGAAATCAAATTGGAATATTGACAATACTTAAGACTGTGGATGCCTGTACTTAACACTGGTTGCTTTTGAGCTGGTACTGTTGGCTTAAGTGTTGCTTCCTGATGCTCTCACACTACCCAGGCCTTGTCCATGTTCTTAGATTTTGTGTTGAAGTCTTTTCATCTCCAGCCTTGGGGGTCATGAAGCAATGATTACATAATTGCTGGACCTGTGTGGACTCCGTGTTGTACGTAGGCACTGTGTAAGGCATCTGAACTCAAGGGCTGAGTATGAAAATGATGACTTAATGACTCTTACTTGATGAAGAACGATTCAGCGATACTTTTTGGTTTGTTTCTCGTTTTCCAGAGTTGCCATGGTGAAAGTCAAAGGGGATAAAAAGCTCACAGGAAGGAATACAATGGCTTCACAAGAAAAAAACAAATTTCAGAAACACAGTGGTAAGATATACATGCAAAACATACTTCCCATGCGGTAGTTTTCACCGTTACAACTAAGAGTGGAGGGATACTTACTTAGCAAATTCTAGTCTGCATTCAAGGGCTAGGATTAGGTTAAACAGTAAGAAGAAGTAGGTATTAGTGTTTCTGAGTTAGTTTCTCATGAAAGTTAGACATTTAAGAAATTGTTAGAATGAGCCAGGTGCAGTGGAACATGCTTATAATTTCACTGACTGAGGCTGAGGCAGGAGGATTTCAAGTTAGAGGCCAGTTTGGCCTATTTAGTAAGACTCAAAAAGCACAGAAGATATAGAAAGAAAAGTAAGAAAAGAAAAAAAGAGTTAAGTAGCCAAAAAATTAAAGAATGAAGTTTTTTAATGATCCCTTAGCTTAGATATTATTATTTTTGCCCAATTTTATTCATTATCATCTGTTGCATGTTTCATTAATGTTTGATGAATTGGGGCTGGTTAATACATACCACTGATAAACTGAATACTTTTTGGTTTGTGATTTTTGAATTATGATGTCTTCATTATTCCATCAGGTGTCAGTATTGAGAAATAGGTAAGTCAAAGACTGCATACATAACTAATGTTTCCTAAGGAATCTATCTTTTTTCTTATGACAATGTTAAGGCCTCTTTTTTACTGTTTGCATTTCATTTATTACTTACATTGCAAGCTCTGTTGGTCAAAGGTTTCTGTCAAATACAGTCATCAACAGTTTTTCTGAAAACTAGAAATTTTGAGAAATTAGCATTTTATTTTAGAGCATTCACTTTATTCTGAGATTCATCATGTTAATGAACCACTGAAAATTATATTTAAAGACTAATGATCATGATAATACAGAGGCATACAAATACTGTAGTAGGTCATCTCTAATGTGTGTTTAAAACAGAAATGCATTAACCTGACAAGTTGTTATCTGTTGGTCGTAAAATTCTAGGTAGTTTTTATTATCCATTTCTCTGCATTGTTGGTTTTATATCATGAGCCAATATTTATTTTATAATGTGAGGTTTTTTAGATAAATGTATATTTAAAAGTAAAACAAAGTCTGCCCCACTAAAGAGAATCTAGTTCTCTGTAAGAGATACATTCCAGCATATAAAAAAGATCTACGCCCAGAATCATTGAACTAATAATTATGTATTGTCATTAGCTTCTAGTTCTTCAAAGACATTCCTCAAGAAAGATGTTAAGGAGGAGAGACCTAAAGTTACATCTAAGAAGTTTGAGAAAAGTGCCACAAAACCTGGGAAAAAGGGTGTGAAACAGTTCAAGAATAAGCCACAAGGGGACAAAGGACTGAAGAACAAACTCCAGCAGGCAAATAAGTTCAACAAGAAGAGAAAGTTTCAGCCGGACGGTAAAAGTAGCGGTGAGCACTGCCTCATAGCTCTGCCTCTGCAGACAGCTTTCCCGCGTGAGTGAGTTAGTGGCTGTGGGTGTGAGCCTGAGACCTCACATTCCTGCTCTTCAGCAGGAGGCGGGTTTGGATGACAGGAGGGAAAGACAGATGGACCTCAACGGTGGAGCATCTCTCCTTGTCAAAATTTCTCTCCAGTGCTTAGAGCTTCAACCCATAATTGTAGAGTTAGCTAAATTATAATGGATTTTTATGACAGAACCTCAATAAAACATTTTTTCTGTAGGCCAAAATTCACTGATTCATTCGTTGAACAGATGTTTGAGTTATTTTGTTCATCCTACTGGGATATAGAGCATATATATCAACTAATCATAGACTCTGGCCCTAAAAACACAGTGTGTCCCTTAGATGAAAGATGCCTCAATGAACAAGAGGTTTATAGACCCTGCCTTCACAGAGATGGGGCCAGTGCAATGCAGTCAGCCCGTTAGATGGCTCTGATCCACTAGCAGTTTAGGAGAGGATGTGCACCATGACAGACGTGATTTTAATTGCTTTGGGAGAATTCAGTTTCCAGCTGGAAGTGTTGACTAGGCTTTTGTCATTGTAACAAACTGCCAGTCTTTTCTTCAGGGTGTGCAAAGGCTCCAAATTCCTTGCTGGTTTCGAATAGTTAATCTGTTCATTCTGTCTCTGGTACTGTCCTTCACTGCCAGCTGAGACCACAGCCCTGGGGCCTGAACCCTGTGCCTGAAAACTGCTTACTTAAGGAGGCAGCACCCCTGGATTGTTTCCCATTAGGCCTGCGGGGTCCTTTCCCACTCCTGTCTTTTCTCTTCCCCTTCATCTTTCCCATGCCCAGTAGTTTTTCTTGCAGCTTCTCTCTCGCTTCTCCTCTGTCCTAGCCTGTCTTAGTTCCTGTATCTTCCTCTGCCTGCTGAAGTTTTGACACCAGCATATGATGCACATACTCATTCCAGCATTGAGGTCTTATCATGCTATGACGGGTTTCTTCTTGTTACAGGATTTATCTTCCTAATGACTTAAAATGGAGCTCTTAATTTTATTCTCTTATAGAGATGTCTCTATTTAGACATCGCAAAAATTGATGTATTTATTGCAACCCAGCCTGGTTTGTATCAAGGCCATTCTAGATATGTGTGGAATGAAATTAGCTCTCTATCTGTTTCTAGTCTCTGCTATGTAGTATTAGTACAGTAAGAATTCCCTCTGTTGCCTATATTCCACTGTATTACCAGGCAGGAAATAAGCAAAAATAAGGGAATATTAAATATACTCTACTGTACTATGTTATGTATTGCCATTTAAAATTATGTCCTTGAGGAGTACTTAGTTTCATTTGAAAATGGGACAGAATGATGTTAAGTGAAGATAGAGTAATGAAATATGTATGGGGAAAAAGGCAGGAAAATAATTAGTGGTTATCTGTAGGTTTTAATATTAAGGGGAATTTTTTTTGTGTGTCTTCTAAGTTTTTAAAATGAGCATATTTTATAATTAGAAAAGGGAAGATACTTAGGAATAGCTCATTTCCAAAGGTTTTCTATAGAACATTTATTAAATAATAGCCATTGTACTAAGTTCTTTGTTTGGCTTCATTAGGTTTTTGCTCAATTAATGAGATTTCAATTTCAATCTTCAATTTCAAAGACAAAAATTAGTAATACATAGATAATTGATGTTTTAAATGACATCACTCTTCAGAAAGCTTAGGAATTGTGATGGTACATTGTCATCAGTGAAAGGCAGCAGCAGTTTATCTCAGGATTTGGAACCCAGCACTGTCGCTGTGGCCTCCTCAGCCCCTGTGCCTTTGTTTTCCCAATCTTTTTTGTCTTACTCAGTATCCTATTAAAAAATCATTGAAAAGCTGCTGAATGATTGGTTTTAATCAAATTTAAAGTGTTCATACTACTCAGAAAATGCAGCAAAGAGCAACTTTATAAAAGTTGTTTTCCCCCTTTTAGTGTCCACAAGCATTGATCCTGATTGGTGGTTGCCCTTTTTACCTAGTTTCTAGTGTTTGTTTACAGCACTCAGAATGTTAATATTATTGAAATTAATTTCTTTAATGACTAGAATCAGCATCCAAGAAAACCAAATGGGATGACTTCAAAAAAAAGAAGAGAGAACTAAAGCAGAGCAGACAGCTCAGTGACAAAACCAACTATGACATTGTTGTTCAAGCCAAACAGATTTGGGAGATCTTAAGAAGGTAATGCTACCTGATGGCTCTGTATCGGTCGCTTTAAGATAGTGGAGTGGTAAATAGAGAGATGTACTAAAATAAATGCCACAGCACCTGGGTTCTTGGGGAGTGCGCCTAACCCCGCAGCGGAAGAGTCAATGTTTAGATGTCTTCCCGTTGCTCAAATGTGTGGAATCATTAGGATTGTGTCAGAACTATTTATGGAAGTACAGGAGAGTCCAACTGGATGTGACATCCTTCTTGAGCGATTTCTGAGGAAATGAACAATTTCTTCTCTGAAAGGTTTTGAGGTAGTTAAGTATTTGGTATCTTTGACTTACTATTTTCTTTTCCTCTGATGTTCTGGCTTTTAAGATTTAGATTGATACATAAAATTATACCTTCTCTGATGGGTTTCTGCCTCTGAGAAAATTACTTTTGTCTGACTGCTCTGGAATAGTCATTTTAATGTCAGAGGTTCGCCACTTTCAGAAAGAAAATCAGGTTGAATTTGGTGCATATAAATTGGTACAGTGTTTAGTTTTGTGTGTTTAAAATAACTTTTCTACTTAAATTGTGTTTTTCTTACACAGAAAAGATTGTGACAAAGAAAAAAGAGCGAAGTTGATGAGTGATTTACAGAAGTTGATTCAAGGGAAAATTAAAACTGTAAGTAGAGTAAGCCAGTTCATCGTTGCAGTTTTAAATAGTGGAAGCTACCTCACTCTGAGCGAAGGGTATTTGGCCTTCCATGATAGGGCAACTTGCGAGTGTCTCCAACATGAATGGCCAGAAGTTTCATTATCTTTTGTAACATTTGCAGAGTCCTTGTCTAAAATCTTGGGGTCAGAAGTGTTTTGGATTTTGGGTTTTTCAGACTATAAGATACTCCTATATATACTTATATATGTATGTATATGTATTCAGACATCTTGGGGGTAGGACCCAAGTTTAAAATCAGAATTCATTTACATTTCATAAGCACCTTATGCATGCAGCCTGATGGTAATTTTATAGAATGTCTTTAAGAGGCTTGCGTGTTTGTTGTTCTGTTTTTGTGTGCTGAGCATCACACCCAGGGCTTTATGCACATGACTGTACCATTGAGCCCGGTTGTTTTGCCCGCATTTTAACTGATTCATTTTCTGTCCCATGAGGTTAGGCATAGAGACTTGCACTTGTGGCATGTTGGCCTTTAGAAAATTTTGAGTTTTGGAGCATTTTTGATTCTCACATTTGAGATATTTATGAGTTCAAATTCAAGTTTGAGTTTCCTGTTGTGAACTCTAGTATATTCTAAATTGTCAACTTATATGTATGTGTGATTCAGATATTACCTATTTTATTTCTGATTTTTATAAACATAGTGGAAAGGTCTTTAAAATACAGTGTTGAGAAATTTAAACTTCCATTGGCTCTTTCCTGTGTTTTGGGTAGATACATGGTGACTGTTTACTTGAAACAGATGCCAGTTGTTTTAGGGACCTGAGAGGGGCAGTCTTTGCCAAACCTTACACATTAGTCTAACTGGATGCTGCATTACTGTTTGAAGGAGTATTCAGTAAGCTCTTTTTAATATAGAAAAGCCCTTCAGCTCTCCAGTAGTCTGCAATACTATGTTTATAAATATTTCACACTTAAAGCCTTCTATCAGGCCAGGCATATTAGTGCATGCCTGTAATCCTAGCACTCAGGAGGCTGAGGCAGAAAGATTACCACAAGTTTAAGACCAATGTAGGCTACATAGTGAGTTCAACCCCAGTCTGGAATATGCACCAAAACCCTGTCTCAAAAAAAAAAAACTTGTGTCAACTTTCCTTAAGCTGTGCAGCATGAACATGGACTTGGGGATTTGTCTTGTATTAAAATTCTTGCTCTGCTCATTAAGCCATGTGTTCCTTTAAGTAACTTGACTACCTCCTGTGTTGGAATGATGCTAACCATGCACTGTCTCGATGAAGTAGTGTTACCATCCTTTTGTACAGCTGGTACATCTGGGACTCAGAAAAGTTAAGTTCATTCCTCAGTCATGGGTACAAGTTTATTGACTTTTTGTAACCTTACAGTTTTCAGCTATAAAATGGGAACAAGTCACTCTTTAACAGTTGCTTCAAAAGGCCTTACTTAAATAGCCTTATTTTTCAGAAATGTTTATAAAATATGACAAAAACGTTTGCATTTAAAAGTAAGAAGTCTATGTCTTTAGATGTATAACTTTCCAAATTTGGGGGATTAAAAAATGTGAAAGATAAAATGAACAACAAACAAACATTTGAAGCCTACTACGCTACTGTAGCATAGTAAAAACAATGCACATGATGGATGTTTTGTGGACATTGCAATTGAACAGCTGTGTCCAACCCTATGGTCTTTTATTTTTGTCTTGTCTTCTTAGTGTTATAACAAAAACTGATATAAAGAAAACCTGGTACATTAACTAAGTTACTTATTTTCTGTAGCCCAAGACGATTCAGCTTCATTCAGAAAAGTTAGGGCAAGTAAAAGAGTGGGCTGCAAGTTGGCTGTGCCTGCTGCTGAGTCCCTCGGTGAGGGTCTCTGAGAGGGAGAGGGTCAGAGCATCAGATCTGAAATAGAACACTTTTTCTTTGTATGCATGTGCATGCGGGAACACACTGAAAATGTGAGAAATGGATGCTAAATTTATAATGCCAATTATAAATTTGCCAATTTATATATCATTGTATTTGTTTAGGTAGCAAGGCTTTTAGATTGATTTATGTTGGATCTATACTTTTGGTTCCATACCCAAGATTCATAGATCATTTACATAAAAATCATAGCATAATAGACTGTTAAAACTGGAACATTCCCCTTTGGAGGAAGGTAACTTTCTGAGAAATGAGAACTATAATGCACATTGTTACAAGATTTTGGTTTGGTTTAATTTTAATTATAATGATAGGAATATTGTAAAATGGTTTAATCTGTCTCTGCCTTGGTTTTATATTAACTATACTTATCAACTATGAGAGGCGGCGAAACCAAAGAATGATGTTCTATATAAGTAAGTAGGTATTTCTACTCTCAAATAGCCTAGATGAGATTTTTGTCTATGACTACATCACTTTTTTTTTTCCTAGTAAGAAATTTTTTTGAAAGGTAGCATCAAAACAGATAATAAGAGAAAACTGTAAATCTTCAGAGAGCATTAGTCTCAAGGCTCAAACTGGTTTTTTTTATAGATCGCGTTTGCTCATGATTCGACCCGTGTGATCCAGTGTTATATTCAGTATGGTAATGAAGAACAGAGAAGACAGGCTTTTGAAGAATTACGAGGTATTTGTTATACGTTGAAGATTGTGTCATTTGTAATGAGTCACTCTTTTCTCCAGAATACCCAAAATTGCCCTAGGCAATACTTCTGTGGTGGTGTCCTTTGTAGGACTCTTTATTTGTTCTTTACCTGGAAAAAAAGTTGTCTTCCTAGATTTGTACTTTTTTAGTTCTTTCCTTTGTTTTCCTCTGGAGAACTGAAATGAAGATTCCAAATCATTATAATATATTTTGTTTTTCAGATGATTTGGTTGAATTAAGTAAAGCCAAATATTCCAGAAATATTGTTAAGAAATTTCTCATGTATGGGTAAGTTGCATTATTTATAAAATATATTTTGCCTTAGTTTTTTTTATTTCAACTATATTCAAGTGTTACTTAAAAAGTCTGTGGTCTGCTGGCCGTGGTGGTACATACCTGTAATCCCAGCTAGGCCAACCTGGGCAACTTGGCCAGCCCTGTCTCAGAATAAAAAGAACCAGGGTATAGTTTCCTAGAGCATTCACCTAGCATGCATGAAGCCCCAGTTCCACAGTTTCATACACACACACACACACACACACACACACACACACACACACACAATAAATGTCTGTGGTCTTGGTAATCACCCACTACAGATGCTTCTGATATTTCTAGGGCATATCACCAATTAAAACAGTTACTGAAGTTAATGTAGAATTATGGTATTGCCTTTCCTGTTGTTAGAGACCAGTTTTTATTTTTATATTCTGAAATTGTAGAAAAAGAGGGCAAATAATTTGTAATTAGTTCAGGGTACATTTTATTCATATTTCCCTGCCTCCTTGACTTTTACCATCGTTTCCTTGATGCTCATTCTTTCCAAGATAAACTGTTAATAGGAACTGTCATGCATTTTCTGTGTGCTGCTCACAGTTTTTGATACATCTGAGCTTATTTAATCCTCAAAGCACCCTTGCTCTTATTGTGCAAATGAAGAGTGAAGCACAGGTTGGTTAAATAACTTGTTCAGGATCTTTTGCCAGGCTTTAGACCTAGGATACTTGACTGCCTGGATCCCATAGAGCTTACAGTAAGGATGCAGGCAGTGTGATTGTCCTGCTTATCAGCTTTTCTCTTTAGGGGTTTATACACACATGTGAGCATACACGCACATTTGATGAGTTGGCCTCAGAAGTAAGTTATGATATACTGTGCCCCAACTTGCTATCATTTATTTTTTCCATGACTGTTGAGTTTAGAAGTAAACCACAGATTGCAGAGATAATCAGAAGCTTCAAAGGCCACGTGAGGAAGATGCTGCGGCATGCGGAAGCCTCTGCCATCGTAGAGTATGCATATAATGACAAGGCCATTCTGGAGCAGAGGAACATGCTGACCGAAGAGCTCTATGGGAACACGTTTCAGCTTTACAAGGTGGGCACGTGCTAGGTGCTGGGCAGGTGCTTTCTGCTGGAGGACCTTGTTGAGTTCTTAGTTTGGCTCTTTATATGTAGTTGATCCTCCAAATGCATGGATTCTACATCTGAGAAATCAACTCCAAATTAAAAATACTTGAAAAAAGTTGCATCTATACTGAATATGTTTCAGATTTTTTTTCTTACTTTTCCTAAACAATAAAATATGACATTTACCTACTGTCTGCATTGTATTAGATGTTACAAAGAGAGATGATTTAAAGTATTTGGGAGTTAGGCTGAGTATAATGATGTATACCTATAATCCCAGCACTTGGGAGGCTGAGCAGGAGGATAGTTGCAAGTGTGAGGCCAGCCTGGACTACTTATAGAGTTCAGGGCCAGCTTGAACTAAAAAGTGAGACCCTCTCTCAAAAAACAAAACAAAAGCACTGGATGGGAGGATACATATGAACTTTAGATAAGTACTATATAAGGGACTTGAGTACCTCTGGATTATTGCATATATAGGGGGCGTCTTGGAACCAATGCCCCATGGATAGCAGAGGATGATTGTGCATTGGTAGACTTGCAAAGCAGTATGGGATTATTAATTTATGAGGATAGAGCAGAGCTTGAGTTATATAAATATGGGGTATGTAAATACCTTAAGTTTATTGTAAATTTACTTATAGTGACTATAGTTGCTTTACTTTGTTCTCAAGTGAAGAAATTAATTGAGAGGTTTGATTTTTTTCTTCTGCTGTAGTCTACAGAACATTCTACTCTGGACAAGGTATTAGAGGTACAGCCAGAAAAATTAGAGCTCATTATGGATGAAATGAAACAGATTCTAACTCCAATGGCTCAAAAGTAAGAAAGGTTTTGTTTCATTTTGTTTTTGCTAAACAAATTTGGACAGGTATATAAAGGAAGAAAGTTTTGTATAATCCTTGCCCAGAAAAGGTGGCTATTTCCTCCGTAGTAGCATTATTCTATTCTACATAAGAGTATTAAAATTTTTTGGTTTCAAACCGTTCCTCAGGCAGAACATGGTCTCTTGTTAACATATACTGTAAAAGGATAGCTAGTAATAAGAGGTTTGTGAATTCTTATTATGGAGGCCTGTAAACTTTCTTTAAGCAGTAAAACATTTCTTTCCAAAATAATATGTTATATTGAACTTTGTGTTAGGTGATTTCACAAATACAATGTGTTGTTTAAATTGCATTGTAAGACTTAACAGCTTTGCGAATGGCCTTCTTGGCATTGATTCCATGCTGCTGTCAAGTGGAGGGAGCTTCTGAGCTGGACTGCCTCACTGCACACCAGGTCCCCAGCTGCTCAGCACACATGTGCACACTTACAGGAACTAGTGTAGCCTTGGAAATGAAGCATCTCTTTCCCTCTATTTCCATATCTATAAAATTATTATGCTATTACAGACTTCCTAAAATTAGGAAGATTAAATGGAACATTATTTCCATGCTTTCCATAAAGGCAGTGCTTATTTCTGCTGTCTACTTGGATACTTAATGTGAACTTCATATCTTTGATGCCTGAACGTCAGCCTCCAGTGTATGACCAAGTGTTGTACTAGGGGCTATAGGTCGAGTGGAGGTCATAGCTATTGTGTATTTTTTTTACTCCTGCTAAAATTATTTTGTGAAGCTCATGCATTTTAAAGGATGCTTAACAGAAACAGATAATAAAAAGTAAGTCTATACATGGATTTCTAATCATGTCTTTTGTCCTGGAGGAAAAATACAGATGTATGTATTTAAGAAGGTAGCATATGTTTTGAATGATGATTTCACTTCTGCTGATTAGATACTAGGAATTTTTACTGGGTTTGGTTGTGGGCGACACTAAATAAACTTTAAATATGTAGAGTAAACATTATTTTAAAATCTTAGTGTTGCTGAAAGGTACTGTCAGTCTTAGGACAAATTATATAGTAAAACTATTTTACTTGTCTAGATCATTTAAGGACAACCCAGGTTACCTGTGTCTGTGTGATTATTTTGCTAGATCTCATTTTGTTTTCCCTTTTTGTTTGTTTTAGGGAAGCTGTGATTAAGCATTCATTAGTCCATAAAGTATTCTTGGATTTTTTTACCCATGCAACCCCAAAACTCAGATCTGTAAGTTCATGGTTTTTGTTTTTAACCTAAATGTAGAGGAAAAGCCATGTACAAATTTCAAACACTGGTTCAATGTACATAGTCTTAGAAATTTTACTTTCTTATTTATATAATAAATCATGCACTAAACTTTGAACAAGTCTGCAAATTCCATTTCAGTTTTTTCCAGAAAACAATAGAATTGACTCCAGTTTTATCAATGTTGTTGAATCTTTATATTTTAATTGTAAACCAGAGAATATCCTCTACTTAATCTCATCTGAAAGTTAACGAATATTGGAGGAATATTCAGCATTTTTGTAGTTTTAAATTAACTGTGCTAAAACAAAACACAAATCATCCTGACATTAAAAGGTTAGGGGAGGGTACTTAATGCAAAGCTAAATGGCCCCTGAAAACCTGGGCCTTTCCTAATTGAAGGAGGAATGGAATGAGGGGAAATTGTACTGCCTTTCAAGTTAGTGATGGGATACAAACAGAATTCATCGTTCAGTTCCCTGAACTTTGTTGGCTTTATCATACATTGAGGTCATTGTCCATTCGTCCTCACTTCCCCATCACAGGATAACCAAAATAACGATCTAGCTTCTTTAACGCCAGGTTATACATTCATACGAGTTTCAACTCTCAAAATTAGAACCCAGAACAGTTTCTCAGCAGTAGCCACCCATCTAAGCTTCTAGTACAGAGACCATAGCAGTGTCACATCGTAATTTCTCTCCATTTCTCACAAAACACAAGATCTTGTAGTTCTATATTTCTTGAGGCAGGACACTGTTCTTATTGACAGAGTGGTCATTTGAATATATTTAGTGCTGGCAAGTATTTATCCTGTTAGTGTTGAATATATTCTAGCAATAGTAAAAAGTAACAGTGTGAATTAATGAGTCAGATTCTTTTCTGGCACTGATGGGGAGCATTTTCAAAAGAGAGACTTAACATACCTTTGGGGCTATTAGGAGCATAATTAGAATTTATATAAATAGCGTTCAAGAAATCTCTTAAGTTCAGGTACATTAGCTGAAATATGTATTCTTGAGAAATATCCTGGGAAAAAAATTGGAAACAGACTAAAATGGGCCCCGACAGCTGTTAGCTGCCAGAACTTATTTACAACTAGTGCACTTAGACTTGAAAATATAAATAAAAAATGATATACATTGAAAATGAAGGCTTAAGAGTAAACTACTTTGTAAGAAATTAAGTGGTTGTTTTCCAAGAGTCATTTATAGGTGAAGGCTTAGCCCAAATGTTAATACAGAGAATTATTTCCTTTTGAAAATGTTATTTAAGTGTATTTATTTATGGTAAAAAAATTACTATGATATTTGGAAATAATCCAGTGGTATACTAACACAGAGAAGCTAATGTAGTTAAAGTAAATTTGGGTTTACTTATCACTGCTAACTACTAGACTGCTTCTTCTTGAAAAATCATTTAGGATGTATTTAATTATACATATACTTGGTAACTTTTAAAATAGACATTGGTAGAAGTCAGATACATTGTGTAGCAGAAACTGTCTGCCAGCAGAATTTGCTGCTTTTGACGGAAAAACGTGTTTCTAGAGAGGCTTTGTCTACAGAATGGAAAATGAAAATGTTTGCCACCTTTGCCCTCCTGTCTTCATTCCCTGTGTCTGACTTTTCCTGTAGACAGATAAAACAACAAAAAGAAAGGAAAAAAAAAAATGAACCAATTCCCTGACAGCCTTTGTTTCCTAGGAACTGATTGAAGCCATCCGGGAAGCGGTGGTGTACCTGGCACACACACACGATGGTGCCAGGGTGGCTATGCACTGCTTGTGGCATGGCACACCCAAGGTAAGCATGCCAGCACTTGGATGTGGGGATGTAGGTAGTGATCTTAGGCTCTTTCGTGCCTTCCTCATTGACTGATGATATTAAGAGAAAGGGAGGAGGAGGAGATCGTGGACAGTTAGCTACACACATGCTCTTGCAAGTGTTTCATACTTTGAGAAAAATTCCAGCAGAAATGATTACTATGTCCTTGATGAGTATAATTCTGCCTTCAAACTATAGTTGTGTGCATTTACCACTTCATTAATGAAAATTTAGTTTTATTGAACAAATACATACTGAATACTGTCTGTGTGCCTGACTGCATTTGAAGACATTTCAGTCACTGGAGCAAGGACCTCGGGTTTCATTGTAAAAGGTCCTTTCACGAGTTTGCCTTGCAGCTTATAAAGTAATGGTTCTGTAGTTAAATGTCTAAAGGATTGTCATATGCAAGTATTAAGGTTTTAATGCTGCAGCTCTGAAAGGACATAGTATATTGCAGTTTTTCATTCTGAATGCATCATTACAAAGTTCATTGAGACAAGTTTTTCTTTTTAAGGACAGAAAAGTAATTGTGAAGACAATGAAGAGTTACATTGAAAAAGTGGCTAATGTAAGTAGAGTAAGAGTATATATAAATCTTTTATTTATGTTTAATAGTAAATAGGATTCATGTATGTTACAGAAAATCGAAAAATTCAGAAAATTATCAAGACAAAAATAATTTTGTTAGTTTTTAGGCTTACACCTTTTATATAATTATTTGTACAAAATGTGGTTGTACAACATGTATTCTTTTCTCTCTGTGTCTTTCTTTTTCCTTTTCTTTTCATATCTTGCATGGGTCGGAATCAAACCCAGAACCTCACACATACTAGAAAAGCACTCTGCCCCTGAGCTACATCCTCACCCCCAGGGCACGCTCTCTCTCTCTCTTCTGTCTGTCTGTCTCTCTTCCTGTCTCTCAATTTAATGTTACATTTTGTGCTGGTTTTCCATTTTTAGTAGGTGTTTTTGGAAGATCTGTTATTTATTAGTTTCTTTTATGAATTGGTCTAATATTAATCAAACATGGGAATTATTGTTCTGGTTAAGATGTGTATGTTAGATTCTAGGTTTAGAAACAGAATGGTAGTTTTCTTACCACCAAAATACTACAAATTTGTATCGTTTTTCTTGGGATAAATTTGCACTGTAGTCATGGAATTAAAATTTTTGGATCAGAGCATATACACATTTAAAATGTTATTCAGGTTGTCAGTTGCTCTCCTCTAAGAAGTTAGACCACTTACACTCTCACCAGCCTAGAAGTGTGCCTGCTACTCTCCAAACCTCTGATATTCACCTTTCAGACATTTTCACAAGTGTGTATAGGATAACTGGAAAATGTTATTTTATTGTCTTAATTATATATTGTTCTTAATCATTTCATTTAAAGTCATTTGTGCTTCTCATTTCCGTGAACATACTCTTCATCTTTAGTCGATTGTTGGTATAGGAAGTTGAGGCCTTTTTTATTTTCCTCCAGTTTGTATTTGTAACCATGTAATTAGTAATTTCCTCACGTTTCTAATTAAAATTGTATTGCCTATCATATTCATTTGATCTGGCTTGAATGACTATTGGCTGTTATCAAAGATCCAAGCTCCCTAATTTAAAAAAAATTTTGTGGAGCTGGGAATGTAACTCAGTAGCATAAGCACATGCCTAGCAAGTGCAAGGTCATGAGTTCAGTTTCTGGTACCCCAAAAAAGAAAAAAATGTATCATCATCATCCAGAGTGCTAACAAGAATATACTTCAGGCTCTGAAAATAGTTTCTCATTTTCTTTTGTTTTTATCCTTAACATACAGTATAAGTTGTTTAAACTCTTAAGAGCGATATCAGCATCACAGAAATAATTGCATTATTTCAAGAAGTGACTATTGTGAAAGCCACTGTGCGTATAAGCTCTTCTGTACATTTTTAAAGCTGTGATTTTTATTTTTATCTTACTCTCAATTACATAATTATATTGTATTCTTCAAGTTTGTTTTTCATTGTTTACATTTTAATTATGTAGAATCACTTTAAGGAAATTGCACAAGATACAATAAAATTCATTTGGATAGTATGCAATAAAAAATAGTGTATAACCATGTAACCCAGAAATGACTATTACATAACAATTGTTTTGCCTTCCAGAGTTTTTTGCATACATGTGTTAGGAACATTGTGTTTGTGTATAATTATATGTAAGCTTGTATATAAGTTTCTTTTTCTTGTGATTTGAATATTTCCTCTATGTAGTTCGTCCTTCTGACCACTTGAGTTTTCTTGAGTTTAATTTTAATAGCTGTTTATTAACAGGATACTTACACAGGTATTAAAATTCCAGTTAGTTTTGGGTATTTAGACATGAAAAATGTGTTTTTCTTCTTTTTGACTCAGTCTTATCTCTAGAATATGATTAACGTGGTCCTGATAAGGAAGTACTCTTCCATGGCTTTTATTCATCTTGTTCGCATTATGTTGGATGGGTTGGCTTTTTATGTTGATAACCATTTATTTGTGGCTCTTCAGTGTTGGTTAAGAGGGAAAAATCGATACCTTTTTGATCTTTTTTCATTTATAATTTTATAGGGCCAGTACTCTCACTTGGTTTTGCTGGCAGCATTTGATTGTATTGATGATACTAAGCTTGTGAAGCAGATAATCATATCAGTAAGTAACTGGTAGTTTCAAGTTTAAGTTAACTAGTACAATAGTTGTGGGTATCTAAGTTTGATTTGCTGTATAAAGATTTACCTGTGCTCTCTGTCTGTATTTTCTGTTACTTTTTAGTTCTCTCAGGTAAGTCATATTTTGGAGGATTGCTCTGTTCTTGTGAAATAGTAATTCTGTTTCAAATTTAAAAACTCGTTAAATCTATGTTTCACACTTATTTTGGATTGGGGCAGCATGTGTTTTTAGACACTAAGTTAACTGAAAAATGAGCAAAGCCTTCTTCAGAATTGATCAGAAATTAGTTTGTATAGTACGGTAATCTTAACCCCCTGTCCTATGAACAACTGCCCCTGCAGAATCAGTGTCTAATAAACACAGTCATTGTGCTTATTAGAGCTTTCGTGAAAGCTTTTGAAAGTCAGATTAAAAGTTACTACTCAAGTTAATAAGCAATTTTTTTTTTCATCTCTGAAGTATAGTCTAGTAATTGTACGTAATGACCATGAAGGGGTAATGGTTGAATAGAGGTTATTTATCATTAACTTGGCTTTCAGAAAAACTGAGCTGTCCTCCTGGAAAAATGATGCCAAAGTGTTTTTCTCTTGTTCTTTTTTCTGAGTCTTTATCCTGTAATCCTCTCTTTTCTCCCCTTTAGTACACAAGTGATGTTGAGTATGTGGCAGAAAGCACAAGATCGGGGATAAGAAATTATAACCCTGATAGCATTGACCAGACTTAGAAATGTTTTTGAAAACTATGTAATTTGTATAGATAAAGTTATTCGTCTGAAAGCCGGCTCTTTTGCTTGATGTATATGAATGGGGCCCTTAGAGAAGTCCTGTTGATAAATGGTACTCTTGTACTGTCAGCAGAAAAACAGTGTATTAGATTGTGGAAAGGAAGGAGATTTGTGTTTTTAGATGCCAGCTGTCGATAGATCCCAGGGTGTGGGAATTTCTCATGCCCTTGCTGTCATTTTCCAACTCTGTTTTTGACTATTTTAAGATGTGATGACTTCCCTTGGGGTAAGATTGTGGGAAGAAGCAAGTTGGCAAGACTTTGATGTCACAGACTGAGTACTTTGACATGTTCCTTGTGACTTTATTACCCTTTTGACTCCAATCAATAATGATTGTTTTTATTCCTGTGACAGAGATGTGAAGCCATAGAATTGGCTAATAAATAAAGTTGTTTCACAAAAATGGAAATGGGCTGGGCTATTCAAAGTTTGCTTTTGTTTAATATTTTCATGACAATTACAATTTGCATAACTGTTCCAAATGGATTTCAAGAGAAACCAAAGTTTCTTCACAATTTGCCAAAATTGTCTGTTAAATTGGTTTGCAGAAATTTCTCCTACTTAAAGCTGCTGTTGGGAGTTTTAATTCCTGTGCTTATTAGCCGGATTCCCACAGATATTTAACCAACATTCCTAATGACTGTTACTCAAGGCAACTTTCCCTGAATGGCCTGATTTGTTGGTCTCTTGCCTCTAAATGAAAAATGCTCAGTGGGTTTTGTATATCATTAAACTGTGTGGCTAGGGATAAAACTCTGGAATGCTGGTTTCTCTTGTATTTTTCTCACCCATCCACGGCAAACCTGTTGCACTGTGCAGTGCTTTTAAAAACTAACCAAGAAAGCCTGGTGTTGCTAAGCACTCTGTGCAGGAAACCCGGACTTCTCTAAATATCAGATTGAAATCCCAGCCTGGTCAGTGGAGCCTTCACCCTTTCAAAGTGGGATACAAATTGTTTCTCACCTACTTTAGTTTCTAAAATAAATCTGCTCCTAAAGATTAATACAGTTTTCCCCGAAGTCATTGGTATGGTACAGCTGGTTTGACAGTAGTGTTCCTTGGGAAGGTAGTAATCCATTAATCAGTTTGTGTGTGTGTCATTTTCTCATGTTTAAAAATCTACGTGTTATTTATATCTTATTCAATGTGTTGTTCTCATTTTACTTGATGAGATTCATCATCAGAGGTCAGCAAGCTTTTTTTATAAAGAGCCAGATAATTAATTTAGATTAGGTCTCTGTCTTATTATCCCATTCTTTTGTTTCTACTTTTTAGCACCTTTTTGAAATGTAAATACCATTCTTAGCTTGCAGTATGTGTAAAAATGAAGAGTACAGAATGGATTTGACCTATGAAGTATAATTTGCCTGCTCTTGTCCTACGTCATTTATTTTTCAGTAGCAGATATTTACAGTATTATTGTTGTTATTATTGTTTTGGTACCAGGTATCGAACTCGTGACCTCGTGCTTGCAAGGCAGATGCTTATTCCGCTTAGCTAAATTCCTGGCCCTTTACTTACTATATTGATATACTATAATTTTTAAATTGTCCCCAATGTTTGCTTTTGTAGTAATTTTTTACTTCATTTTTTACTAATTTTTGGTATTCAAAATAATCCTGTGAACAATAATTTGTTTTCTTATGCAAACATAAAAGATTTTTCTAAGGTATCTACTTAACAGAATTTCTGGGTTGCTGGAAGTATTGCGGATGTTTCTTTAGAGTCACATGTCTGTTTTCCTTGTCAGCCACTCTGACACCTATTGCAGTACACTGTCCTTATAAAAATAGCCGAAAAAGCTTGGTGTGGCTGAACATTGTCATCAGAGTAACTGGGTTTCCTGAAATGTTGGGTCGAACCTACAAGCTGATAACCGCTGCTCTTAAGAGCTATCGCTACTGTATTCTCTGATCTCCCATCTAGACCCAGGCTGCCTGTATCCTCTCAAGCCTTCTTGTTTTTGTTTTTGCTGTCTGTTCATTGGGCAGTTAATTGCGATCTGATGCAGAACTCACAAACTCAGAAATGTCCATTGACCAGACAGGTAAATGAGTTGGCCTGGCCTGGCCTGGCCTGGTAGGAGAGGAGGAGTGGAGTGAGTAGCGGGGACTGAAGAGGGCCGCTGTTCCCACTGGCCCCCACTCACCTCCCGTCCAGCAGTCTGATGGGCCGTCCACTTGTTTTCCTTTTGAATTGAGGTAAAACACACCTAACATAAAATGCACCATCTTAACCATTTTTCAGTGTACAGTCAGGTAGTATTAAATATACACGCATTGTGCAACCAGGCTCCAGATAATTATTTTTTTATAAAACCTAAACCCTGCACCCTGTAGGTGCTACCTGCATTAAACTAGACTTGCCAGTTTTTTGACTATAGCCAAAAAGCGGGCATTGGAATAAAATCTCCGTATTTTTAAAGAAAAACACTCCAGAGCCTGGCTGGTGATTCACTCTACCCTCAGCTCTTTTCTTAGTGCTCATTATTTGAATTTCTGATTTTTATCTTTAACTTTCTTGCCTTTCCTGGTAGATTTTAGCTGCTTATGGCTAAAGAGGTATGCATTTCTTTTAGCCTCCGTCATAGATTGTGTATACCACAGGTTCACTTCTCCATAACTTGTGTTGCTCTTTGCGTTTCTGTACTCTGTGGAAAATATGTATATGCCCTAATTCTACTTCTTGTATTCACCTTTGATTTTGACCTTTACCCTTCATCATCTTAAAAGAAAATTGGTGAAACAAGAATTCCAGGGAGTCTGGCAGGGACTCAACACTAGAAAGTCACAACTAGCCAAGACTGGAGATGTAGCTCAGTGGTAGAGTACTGGCCTGGTATGGACAAAACTCTGGGTTTGATCCTCAGTACCCGACTGATAGGTCGACAGATGGACAGGACTGCAGGTTTGATACCCAGCACCCCATAAATAAATAAACAGGGAAATGAACTTTTAAAACAAAGTTTTCAGAGGGAGATCTGTTCTTCCCATGTTTTCCTTCTGCTCACATGCCTGCTTCAGAGCATAACAAATTACAACAAATGTCCTTTATGTGATTTTCTGTTACTTCTTATAAGGGATAAGCGAAGCCAAACTTAAAATCAGGTTCACATTGTTGGTATTCTCTCTTTCTTGAGGGTGAAGACTTATGATTCCACCAATTTTAATTAATGTCTAGTTAAGGATGCTGCATATTGAAAGGTGTGTAATAAGTTCAGCAGTTTTTAGTTACAGTGTAAATTTTCTTATTTGCTTACAGTAATAGCACATAGTCAAGCAGATGCATCATTTCCTTTTATAGATAAGAGAACTGATGTGCAGAGAGGTTAAAGGATTTGCCAAAAGCCACACAGCTTGACTTTAAAACTCCAGAGAACAAATTTAGCACAAAATCAGCTGTGACTTAACTGTCTTTTAATTATTTGTGAAAGGAATTATTAATACTCTTCAGATGATAATCTAGATATTTCTCTTTTTCTGTAAACCAGGCTGATGAGAAATGGGGGTAGCACCACATAATAGAACAACACTCATGCTGTTTTTATATTTTCCAAAGATTTATAATTTTTCATTAGTAGGGCAAAGCTGGGATAAACATGAGATGGAGGAGAATTAAATACTCCATTTTTAGATAAGTGTTTTTGAGTTGCATAAAAATGTTAAGTTTGTAAATTTTGCATACTTTAAAAAAAAACTTTAAAAATGATTTGCAAACCAAAAGAGAATAAAGTTCAGTGGATTTAGGGACTAATCCTTGAATATAGTCGTGCACAGATTTTATGCATATATTAAAGTCCTAGTTTCTTGTGTTAAAAAACAATTTCTGTCCAAGACATGCTAGATTTGTCCTTCGGCCTCTGTATACCAAGAAAAGTATTCTGATTTAAAAAATAAGTATTAACCATTATATTTGTTGACTTCATATTCTTGGTTTTGAAGGTATTAGATTTCATCTCATTTTTTAAGGAAAGCAATGAGTAGGTTTTGTTTTCTATTGTTTCATTTCAGTATGTATGAGCGTATGGACAGCTATTTTGAAGAGAACAAGAGACAGTATGGTAGCCATTGTTCATTTTCCTATTTTCTAGTTTTGAAAGCCAGTAATGCTTTCATTCTTTTGTTTTGAATGGTTTTATACTATTTTTGTCTTGTTTGAATTCATTGTATGTGAAGGTATGGACAACTATTCTGAAGAACACAGGAAACATTATGGTAACCACTGTTGATTTCCTTTGGTCTTGTTTTGAAATCCTGTGTTGATTGCATTGTTTTGTTCTGATCTGCTTTGTTCTGTTTTGTTTTGTTTTATTCTCTTTAAAATAAAAGAAAACCACTAAAAAGGAGGGTTCTATTCTTGAGTATGTTGATTGAAAATGTCGTAGTTTATATCTTCAGAGGAATCTTTCCGGGTTTTCCCTTCACTTTCTGTTTTTGTCTTTTGTTACAGTAGTTAAATAGCCATCATTTCCTATGAATAAGCAACCTTTTTTTTTAATAGAGGGAAAACACAAAACAAAAAATAATAAAAGAAACAAATAAACAACAATAACGAAAACCCCAAGACAACAATATAGGCTTTCAACCTAGCTTTTTAAAAGGCTTTGTCCACTTGTTCCATTTAAGACACTTCCTTAATCTCCCCCTCACCCCATCTGCCTCAGCAGGAAGCATCCCGGAGGCATCTTCATCTTCAAGGCTGATGCTGCATTCGGGTGCAGCTGCACATTATCTCTATCTAGTCAGTGACCCTCACAAATACTGGCCCTAAGAATAGTGGCCTAAGAAACACTGGATGTAATGAATGATGATTACTCCTTGAAATATTCAAGTCCCAAGGGGCTGGGGATTTAGCTCAGTGGCATAAGCGCCTGCCTTGCAAGCAGGCAGTCATGAGTTCGATCCCAGGTACCGATAAAAAGGAAAAAGACAAAAAAAAAAAAAAAAATTCAAGTCCATGAGGTAGGTTAGTTAATATAAATGGCTTGCTTAGTAGTACTAGTCACAGCAGAAAATTGATTCTGTGTTCCAAATAAAATCTCTCTGTGCTTTAATGAGATGATTTCAGAACTAACTGCACATTTGCCATTAAGTACGCTGAGGATTTAAGTATATAGTCATCATTTCTATTCTGTACTTTAGGAATGTAGATAATGATTTATTTCTTCGTAATTTTACAGGAAATTATCAGTTCCTTGTCTAACATAGTAAATGACAAATACGGAAGGAAAGTCTTGTTGTATTTACTGAGTCCCAGGGATCCTGCACATATAGTCCGAGAAATCATTGAAGTTCTGCAGAAAGGAGATGGAAATGCACACAGGTAAAAGCCTCTGATTGTTCATTAATTTTTTTTCTTGTTGTCATTCATTCATTCCATTAGCACCTAGTTCTAGAAATTCACTCACATATGCACACTCTACCTTGACATCTCTACAACTTCTCAAAAGATGAATTCTACTTTTTAGATCTTCAGTTTTGACAAACTTTAAAGTCATTACATTGAAAAGGAAATACGGGTGTCATGTACATAGATGGCATTCAGGTATAGGGCTTCCCAGTATAGTACCATGTATTTGAGCACCATGGAAAGTGGAGAGTTTCTAAAGAAGTCTAAATGTGTATCAGCTTATGAGATGACTTGATTGACCTTAGATTGGTTTGGTTTGGTTTTTGGGTATGTCACTGTTATTATTATTATTTTGTATTGCATAAGCCAAGCTTTATTGAATGGTTGTTCTGTGTCAGGCATTACTCAAGATTCAGGTTGCAAATATGACAAACAACACCCTCAAGTCAGCTACTACCTATGTGCTTAGCAGAATGAGAGACAGTTAAACAAGTGTGACATAAAGTTGCAGTAGCATGTGAGAAGCTCCCAGAGGTTTTGTGATACTACTATGATCCTATTTCCTTTGCTCTTTATTTTCCCTTACTACCGCATTCAATGTTTACCCACAGTAAGAAAGATACAGAGATCCGCCGTCGTGAGCTCTTAGAAGCTATTTCTCCAGCATTGTTAAAGCATCTACAAGGAAATGCCCAGGAGATGGTGCTGGATAAGTCTGCATGTGTGCTGGTGCCTGCCATTCTGGGCTCTGCCACTGGAGACGTTCAGCCTGCCATGGATGCCATCGCCAGCCTCGCGGCAGCAGAATTACACCCTAGTGGCAAGGATGGAGAGGTGGGTGCTGCTGAGAAACAGGCAGGAAGGCTCCAGCCAATGAGAGTGTCATTGCAGGAAATTTTAACAGTAACTACCTCAGCTTACCTCACGTCAGCAGTACCTTTTAACATGGCATTCAAAATGTTGCCCATTGTGTTCTTTGTCTTTTTCAAAAATGTGCAGTTATTCAATGTTATCTTGAGTAAAGACAGGCTCACGCTGTGGCTTTTTTTCAATGATTGCCTCCATAACACCTTTCCACAATGTTCCATATTCTTTAGTTTTTGTTTTGGATTTGCTGTGGATGCTTCTTTCATTCTTGATTGCTGACCCCTTTCTCGATTTCCCTGTGTTATGTCTATAGAAAGCTCTACTCACCTAACCTCCCCAGAATCCTCCCATCAAGCCTTCCCCAAATTCTCTTCACACAAATTCTTGCTCATTCTAATCTCTCCTGCCTCTGTTACGTGAGCCCAGTATTTTGCATTGCATTTTAAAGTCACCGATGCATGTACTTGTATGTTCACAGCAGTGGCCAGCACTGCCCTGCCGAGCATTTAAAGGACACAGTATTTAAATACTTACACAAATAATTATTTGTTAGTATTGAAATGAGAGCTGTGAAAGACAACTACAGGCTCGGCTGGATGGTATCAGAGCAGTGAAGTTGAGACCTGAAAGATTAAATGAAGAATGATAGAAAATTCCAGGCTGAGAGGGCAGCATGGATGGAGAAGGTAGGAGTGGAGCATGTTTGAGAAGAAAGGCATGAGGTGGGAATCAGCACACAAAGGAAAAAGGAGGCAGAGGCAGATCGCACGGGATGTGTGTCCCACACCGGCTCGTAGGCCCTCACAGCTCCCAGTAAACGAACTTGAGATCCTGCTGGTGTCAGCAGCAGCCACCTCTGCTTCATTTAGTTTCACAAAAGCCTCTGCGTCAGTCTCACAGTCGCCTTCAGTATGACCCCTAGTGTATAATTCAAGGGTCTGAAATAAGTTATTCAAGTTCCATGCCTTTCACACACTAATCAGAAGTGTAACCTGCACTGACTGAATGCCTAAAAAATACGCATCCCCAGAATGGCAAGCTCGCTATTCTAAGAGCATGGGATCCATTGAGGAGACATGTGCAAACCAGGTGTTACAGTGCAAGGTAATACTTGACTTTTGGTCCTGGCAGGACTTTAAACTCACGCTATGGAGAGGGTTGAGTGCAAAATGCTTTGGCAGCAATTGATAGACTGCCTCACGGTAGCATTTTATTGATGAATAAGAAGAAAAGCAGAGATGTGCTGTGACAGATTCCACTGTCTTTGCCCTCCTACCATCTCTATAACTTTAATTGTTACGGTCGCAAGACACTTTTCACGACCTCAGCCCTTGTCTTTTACTCGGAGTCCCAGCAAGAGCAGCAGAGCTTCTCCTGGGACTAGGAAAAAGACCTCCAGGCACCTTATTTGATATTTTATTGGCTATAACTAAGTCATATCTGCTTCTGGACCAATCTCTGGCAGAAATAAATCAATGACAAGGGCTACTTGAGATCAGTCAGGGTGAATCCTCTGAAAAGGGGAAAAGAATGTTTAGAGAAGGTGGTGAAGGGAGCAGCTGTCACAGGGAGGAAATTTGAGGAGGGCAAGGTGCTGTTTCCCAGCGTGTGTTATGTTATTCATCCTGAATTGCTGTAACCAGTTGGGCACTTGAAAATGTTTCCTACCAACACATATTTGGTTCTGAATAAAAGTGTCATCAGGTAGCAATTGTTTGGGGAGCTTCTGAGGTACAGGGTTGGGAAAGAAGTAGGCTGTGGGTCTCACCCTGCTAGAGCCCAGCATGAAGTGGGAAAGGTGAATGCACAGTGCAAATTTTTTCTGTCAGGGGGTTGTGCCCATTGTCTCTCATCTTTGGTAAGGGGAGACCCTCCCAGGGATGATGGGAATAGGTGGTGTGGCCCTAGAAAAGGAACAGGATTGAGTTACACAACACTTTCTTGGCCGGCTCATCAATAATTTGGTAGGATCATTTAAAAATTCAGCATTAAATTTTAATGTTTCTGCTGTAGCATTGTGCTGCAAAAGTTTATTTTCCCCGGAACTACATGTTACCATGGGAAACAGGACCAGCAGGATCTGAGATGAGTATGGTGGCGCCAATCAACAGGAAACCTGAATCGTCGTCTGAGCTTCCTTGCTGGAGCCATGTCCTCTTGTGTAGCCCTGTTCATTTCAGCCTGGGCAGTAGTGCAGGGCTCTGACCCTTCTAGATAGGATGGGCATTTAAAGTGTTTACAGCGTGGTGGAGTTTGGAACACAGCTGGGTCTTTCGTCTGCATGTAGTGATGCAGATTAAATTTTGGTTCAAGGCAGGGTTGTGAACAGTGTTTGGAATTGACGTGTGCTTGGTCCCTTGTAGCTTCATGTTGCGGAACATCCTGCAGGACATCTAGTTTTGAAGTGGCTGATAGAGCAAGACAAAAAGATGAAAGAAAATGGAAGAGAAGGTAAGCCACGCGTTTTGACATTTTCTTGTGTCCAAAGTGGAATCTTTGTAATTCTTAACATCTCTGGCCGTTTAAGTTCACATAAAGCCTGTCAGGTGTTGAGAAGTAGAACTTGGGTCCCAAGTCGTTTTTCTCTTTCCCACCCTGTCTCACTCCTCTCTTTTCTGCTCCTTCAGACTTAGCCAAAATAGGTGAGTGCCCTGTCAGCCTATTCTGTTCCTTGAGGATGGTACAGCATTACCCTTAGTTGAAAGGCATGATTTTTATCTCTACCTTTGAGGAAGGAATAAGCAAAAGAAAATTACTGTCATTTTGGGGGAATTTTGGATGGTTTATTTGGCATTGAAACACGTGTGACTGAAGAGCAAGCCAGTCCTTGGCACTTTCTGACTTTTTGAAAGCCTTACAGTTCCTCTGTAAGAACTCGGCTCTAAAGAGTAGGGCAGCCTCTTTTTTCTAACTAGAAAGTTGCACACTATTTCCTTCTTTGTCCTGTCTTTTTCTTCCTGAATTCAAACTCCATCTGGTGTATAAACCACTAAGCAAAGTTCCCCCACTGAGTTAGCATGGCTTGAACTTCCTGTTACTATGTTGGAAAAGAATGACAGCCTAGGGATTTATGTCAAGGCAGGCTGCAAGTTCAGTGGCCAGTGAGGCACTCAGTATGGGAATAGAGCTGTCATTTCTCACTTTACCTTTAAGAATAGGGACTTAGGGCTAGTTTCTACCACGAAAAAATTGTTTTTTAGAAGATGCTTGTAATATTGAAAGAAAAAGTACTGTATGATCTTTTTTTTCATTGAGGTAGCTGATGCAAAGTTGCATTAATGCCAGAGAAGTTGTTAAAGTCCAAGGAATTGTCAAGTGATTTTTCTCTCTCAATGAAAGTGTACACAGAGTCCTAAAATATGCATGTTTGGGCCTGTGTGTGTGTGTGTCTTTTTCACCTCACACTAAAGGAGTTTGTCTGACAGTTTTGATTATCTGTTGCTTTGTAAGAAGCCACCTCAAAACGTAGTAGTTTCCAAAACAGGTTCAGTGTTCGGTGTAGCTTGCCTCTGCTGTGCCCCTCTGGAGATGCCTAGTACACATACATGTAGTTTGGGAGACACTGTGATCACGCTTGGCAAACACAAGTTGCCTTACTAGCTAACTTGACTCCCATTAGCCAGGGGCCGTGATGGGCTGAATAGCTATGGGCTCTTGGCTTTGAAGAGCTCTTACATTTGGCTGTCTTTGAAAGAATTCTACAGGCTACCGAACCCAGATCACTGCTTTCAGGATAGGTTATTCCTTCCTCCTCCTGCTGTAAGTCCTAGCCATTAGAATTTCTTCTTTGTCCAAGAATACACTACACTAGACAGCACAGTGGGTGATTTTTACCAAGACCTTGGGAATCAAAAATACTAAATAAGATGAGTTGTTTTTTTGATGTGTGGATATGTAAGCATTGTAGGGAGAGATTGCAAAATAAAAACTCAAATACTTGTTCTGAAGTCACTGTGTTTACGGCACTTTCTGGGTAAGCATTCCTCAATGAGGGAAAACTTGGTTTAAGCCAAAGTGCTGCTGTCAAACATTTACTTCTTCAGTAACTTTCAAGTAAAGGTTAAATCACTAGGTACTGCAGAGAATCATAAATGTGACCAAATAAGCACTCTTTAAGAATTAGTTTTTCTTGAGTAATTTCTAGTAAACATAGCTTAGAGTTTGGTTAGAATTGTAAGAAATGTCTGTACTAGCATAATATAAACCTCAACTGGAATTTTCATTGTTAAGGGAGATTGAATAAGAAGTCTTATTATCAGCTTTTTTTAATTATTAAAATAAACTTGCAAGCTTATAGTGCTATAAAAGAGGATTGGGAGTTCGGTGTGAAAGGTTTCCTGAGTTCCAGTATATTTTTACAGGTTGTTTTGCAAAAACCCTTGTAGACCATGTTGGTATGAAGAACCTGAAGTCCTGGACTAGTATAAATCGGGGTGCCATCATTCTTTCCAGGTATGTTCACTGTGTATCTTTTTGTGCATGGGAACTGTCATGCAAAACACACTTCTTTATCTTTATTCCTGAGTTCTAGTATTTGTTCTCAGTAGCCTAGTAGCCTGATACTTTTGTCTTCACAGTGTAGACAAATACACCAAAGAAATAGCACATAATAGCTTTTTCAGTTTGTCCTTATGATTTCTTTTAAACTGCCATCTGTTGGATGTCAAAGATCACAAAATTGTGTCATTTGCAAGATATTGTATAGTGATTTCACTATTTATGGTTTTGACTAAAACATAATTATCTTTTTTTGTGGTCTTTGTTACACTGGGCCCACGTCCAACTCAAAGACATTGTGTCACTGAGCACGTGCGCGCGCGCGTGCGTGCATGTGTATGTGTGTGTATGTGTATGTGTGTGTGTATGCGCGCACGCGTGTGTTTCAAGCAGGGTTGCCTGCTAGTTGCCCAGGCTTGGCTTGAACTTGTGATCTTCTTACCTCTGCCTTTGTAAGTGTGAGGGTTATAAGTGTGTACTGCACAGGTCGTGTCCCGCTGAAAACTGTGACAGTGTAACTCATGCCTTAAAGTTTTACATGCCGTTTCTTTTGTTGTGGACTCCAAAAGGATTATGCTATCATCTGTTACAGTAATTTATATGCTAGTTGTTTATTTCTAACTTAAAAATGAGAAAAAATTGATGAAGTGCAAAGTGAGGTCCATCTTGTGTATTATTCTCTGAGCTTAGTTACACTGAGTTTGTAGTTTACAGGTCATTGAAATTTCTGTACGTTTTATGTCCAGATGAAGCCCTTCTGTTAAGAGCAGAGTTGTGTGTTGATTTGAAGCAGTCACTGTTGACTGCTGTGTTACCAAAGGTACCACTCCCAGCTTAAATTTCTCACAATATTTTACTTGAATATTCTGTTTCTTCAGTGTATAATTTTGCCTAGTACATAAATGCTCACAAACAATGCACAGTAATGTTCATGTCTTCCAGTAAGTCGGTATCTCCAAGCATTTTGGTGTTTGATCAGATCACAGATCATTTTGTTCATTTCTCACTAAAATTAGTTCATTTTCCAGTTGACGTTGAGCAGTCAGAATTTATTAACTGAAACATGAATTTTTTTGTTAGAAATTTTTTTACCAGGTATTTAAAATGTTAAAACCTACTGACACATTCTTTCTTTACACTCAGTTAACTAGAAATTTCAGTCATGCCATGAAATTAATTTATACAGCTGCTCATCAATCTTGGGTAGGTGTCAAAAATAAGAACGGTATTATGGGTTATGTAAGAGACGTATAAAATACTTGAGGTTCTAAATGGAAATTGAACACAGTATAACTTAACAGTACAGTAATCATTTTGTTTGGTTTCTGAATATTTTGATGAGTTTGACTTAGTTGGTAAAGTTTCCTGCTTATTTATATTTTACTTTAAAAACTCATGTTTTTTTTTTGGAATTTTTTGATGTGTGTTTTGCTGAGTCTTTTTATTGTAACTGTACCTTTTTGGTCGAAAGACAAAAGCTGCCTTGCATGCTTGCTAAGAAATAACTCAGGGAAGCAGAATTCTCTTGCATCTAACAACACTGGTACTAGACAGTCTGCTAGGTTCCAGTCCCACCTTATTTTGTAGTCTTGAGAAAATTAGTGATTTTTTTGTGGGGGTGTGTGTTTCTTTGTTGTAATGTAAAGTTAATAAAGACCATAAAGTTGTGAAAATTGCATAAAAATGCCTTTCATTACATCTGATATGATAAATGTTAACTTGTATTGGTGTTAGGAATTACATAACTGTATTTAGCCAAGGTGTATAAAATAAAAACAGCCACAGATCTCTTTGAGGGAAACTTCGCTTTTTGACTTTCTCAGCTTTGCAGGTGGCAGCAGGTTGTACTGTTGCTTGGTCCCCTGCAGCAGTGGAATGTCACCAGGTGTCAATGGATGTGCTCTTTGTGGACATGATGGAAGTTACTAGGACTGAGGACTTTTGAAAGTCCAAAGACATTTCCTTCTAGAGTGATTCAGAGATCAACATTTACATGTGGTCCTGAAGAAGTGGGGAGAGACAGGAAAGTCAGGCCTGGTGCTGTGTTGTCAGGTGACCATGACCAAATACCTTTGGTCTTCCCAGCCTCCAGACTTCTGTACATTTTGGTGTTGCGGTGTCCAACAAGGTTTTACCAAGCAGAGGCTGGGATTTTTTGGTTTAATGTCAATCTCTGACTTTAAATACAAGATCTTTGTGCTTGTGAAATGAACACTGTGGGGCCTCGGAGTGTAGCTCAGTGATCTTAACATGTATGAAACCCTGGGTTCAGTTTCTGTACCAAAAACAACAACTCCTTGAGGGAGAAGATGAGTCCTGTTTTTAATTCCAGTCTACAAATCAGGAAACTGAGTCCATGAGAATTTAAATAGTATCTTTTTGGTTGTATAACCATTTAGTAAGAGAGATCAGTTTCAAAGCCAGTCAGTGAAACTTGAAGATAAAATTCATCCTGTCTTCATTAAGTGCTGTAGCTGTGGTTTAGAAGGACTTACTGATGGTTATCATTCATGCTCCACAGTTGGCCTCTTGGTTTGCACGTTCACTTGGGTTGAGTCAGCTTTGCGCTCAGGTTTCTAATCTAAACAAGATAGAACAGATAAAGAGTATAGGTAGAATAATTTTAATGCAGGATATAATTAAGTCCTAAGATAAAGTCAGTCAAGTCTGCTTGAGTGACTCCCCCTGCAAGATTATAAACTTTTTTAATGTGGTCATAGAATATAGAATGGTGGCCCTCCTTACTTACCTGGTGAATTAAAAAAAGAAAATACATACTGTATATAGTTACAGGACTTGACTCAAAATTAGTGAATTTTTTTATGCTGCAGGTATAAAAGTATTTGTAGATTACCTGGGGCTTTGTATTAAATTTAAGTTTCATTAATTTTTTTTCTTTTCTTCCTCAGCCTTCTACAGAGTACAGACCAAGAAGTTGCAAATACAGTTAGAGCTGGACTGAAAAGCCTGATTCCCACGTTGGAAAAAAACAAAAACACCAGCAAAGGAATAGAAATTCTACTTGAAAAACTGACTGCATAGGTGGAAACGGTTAAAAACAGAATGGAATCATTTTTCCCATTCGCTGTCTGGTTTTCCCACTGCAGAAAAGAAGGGTGAAGGTCCACCTCACTGGTAATTTGGAGGCCGCTATACTTATGTTTCTTTTCATAAGAATCTGTTTATATAAAATTACATAAAATGGTGGTTTTTATTTTTTTTAAAGCCCAGCTATCTCCTTTATTGCTATGAATAACATCAAAGTGTGAGGCAATAGTGTGGATGGTTAGCGTGGTGGAACTCAGTGTTGGATGATTTGATTACATGTAAAGATCCTTCAGTGAATAGTCAGAGAAGGCTTCCTGGGGCAGGTGGGTTATGTCCTGCTAAAGGAAGGCAGGATATGGAGAGGAAGAGCCAAGGAGAGCCCTAGGTGGGAGCAGTAAGTGGAAATTAATGGTTTTTAACTGAACTTCAGGAAGCCTTGAGGGATAGCTTGCATTTCTAGCTGTTGCATGGATTGAGTTCCATGCCAAGCTGTTTCTGAAACCCACCAAAGTAATTGTACACATCGTGGGAAATGTGCTAGGTGAATTAGAGGATCCCAGTGGGTAGCACTGTTAAGGTCAGGATCACTGGGAACAGGTCTTGTCTCTGGATTTGGGGGTTGCAAGTAAATGGCTCCTTATGATGAGACACTTTTCCTAAAGTACACAAGGCTTTATGGAGGGCCACGGGTAATTCAGTGGTAAAACATACTTAGCTAGCGTATGTGAGGATCTGGGTTCGATTTCTAGCACTACAACAACAAAGCAAAGCCCGAGTAAACTGGTTACTGTGCAGGAGTTACTTTGGGATGTTAGAAGGGTTAGTAGGTCAAGTGGGCTCCTATATCCATGCTCTTTGGTTAAGAGCCTCTGAGTGTTCTGATGACCTCCCACTGAGCTCTGTCACTGCAGTTACACCCACTAGAGAACTGGCTGTGCCTTTCCTGTCCAGATTATGGGGTCCCCAGGATTACTGCCAATGTAAAACTCCTGGGACTTTACCACCCTCTCCCCTGCCAGGGTGTATTGACCCTTCCCCAAAGAGCAGAAGACCTGGTATGACTTGTAATTTTTGGTGTGAATTCTTATCCTGACTGTCACCCATGTGGGTCGCAGGGTGGGGTGGGATGGCTGGGGGAATGGGGATGGGGTAAAGAGGTGAAAGATATTTTCATAAAGTTGACAAGAGCAGCCACTTCCTTGCTCCCCGCTTCATCCCTTGTCTCACCCTCTTCAGTAGCCTTTCACTTATTCCCAGCTCTGATGAATTTCTAAATATACTATTTTTATAGTGTATATTTTGAATCTGTTGGTTTTGGGTATTTTCTTGATGTTGTATTCTGAAAGTACAGATTAAAAGCTTTACTGCCACTGCTTCCCTCCCCTCTCTTCCCTGTAGAACATTTTTGATGAGTCAAAGGGTTCATGATACTAGACCTAAGCGTTCAGTCAAGAAGTGAATGGTTGCATTTTCTCCAGGAGTCAGTAATTGTCTTAGTATTTTTATTTAGTTTTCTACATCCTGTCATTAATTTCACCAGATTTGCTTGAACTCTTCTCTTACAGACGCCATTGGCACCTTCAGCCTGATAAGCCTCCCATGTTACTCTGTCCGGAGAGTCTTCTGTCCTTACTAATGTAATATCTTAACTAGTGCAATTCACTTTTTCTCAGCCACTTCTCTCAAGTGGGCCATAAGTTTGATGAAATTACTCACCCAGCCATACATCTACTTACCTTGAATGCCCTGGGCAAAAGAGTACTGTTGTGAGCTAATCCTAAGGGTCCATGTTTTAAGTGATGGATAGGTTTAAGAAAGAGCCAGCCAGTAAACCATGGAAGAGAGGTGATGTTTCTGGGAAGCTTTTGAGGCCCTAGACTCCCATGAAGAGTGTCTCCTCAGCTTGCTAGCTTGTGTTTGCAAGAGCAGGATGGCTGGAGCTGTTGTACCATCTTGCAGCTGAGAGAAGGTAGTAAATGTGGAAGGTTGGTGAGCAAGAGTGGAAAGAATCTAGAACTTTGATACAAGCCACTGCAGTAAGCCACCTGCAGCTCCTCCAAATGTGAGAAAATCAACCCCTAGTTTAGTTTAGGTCATTGTTGGATTGGATCTTCAGAAACTTGGAGCCAAAGCATACCAAATTATCTCAATATAATTTATATGCTACCCAGCTCTATGAGACAGCACTTTGAAGTCAAGTAGCACTTACTTTTGTTGGGAGCTTTTGAAGCCTTAAATTGACCCTGGATTTTGAATTTGGGGACCTTGATGTTTTTCAGCTCTATATATTCTGCATATTAGTCCTTTGTCTGAAGAATTGTTGGCTAAAATTCTTTCCCATTCTGTGGGTTTTCTTTTTACTTTGTTGGTGATTTCTTTTGAAGTGCAAAAACTTTTTAGTAATACGAGATCCCAGTTGTTGATTCTTTCAAGTATTTCCCGTGTGGTTTGCGTTTTATTCACAACTTCTCTCTCTACCACTATACTATGTCTTTAAGGTTTTTACCTACTTTGTCTTCCAGTAGATGTAGTGTTTTTCTTTTAATATTTAGATCCTTGATCCATTTTGACTTTATTTTAGTGTATGGTGAGAGGCATGGGTCTATTTTCAGGCTTTGGCATGTGGGATGCCAATTTTTCCAACACCATTTATTAAAGAGGCTATCCTCATGTTTGGCCCCTTTGTCAAATATAAGGTAGACTCCCTCCAAAAATGGGCATCTGAGATGAACACAAGGTTCTCAGATGAAGATATACAAATGGCAAATAATATATGAAGAAATCTTCACCATCACTGTCATTCGAGAATGTAAATTAAAACAGCATTGAGATTTTATCTCACCCCAGAAAGAATGGCTGCCATCAAGAAAACAACTGATAACAAATGTTGGCGAAGATGTGGGAAAAAGGAACTGTTCTCCACTGTTGGTGGGAGTGTAGACTGGTGCAACCACTATGGAAATCAGTATGGAGATTTCTCAAAAAGCTAGGATTAGAAGTTCCATTCAATCCAACTATTCCCCTCCTAGGTATTTTCCCAGAAAAATTGAACAGGTCATGCCACAGAGATATATGTACACCCATGTTCATAGCAGCACAATTTGTGATAACTAAATCTTGGAAACAACCAAAATGCCCATCAACTGCAGAGTAGATGAGAAAAATGTATTTTTATACAATGGAATACTACTCAGGTATAAAAAGGATAATCTTGAGGCCTTTATAGGTAAATGGAGGCAACTTGAAAATATCCTCATTAGCAAAATAAACAAGACTCACATGAGTAAATACCAGATTGTCTCTCTAGTGTAAGAAACAATAAAAACTGACAGAAAAATGGGATCCAGAAAGTATAATAGATACTGTGAAAGCAAAAGGAAAGTGCTCTAAAGAGTATAACAGTATGTATAGTGTGTAGATAGATGACAATATTATTGAATCTCTGTTGGAACACTGAACAGAAGGATTTGTACTATCAATGTTTGAGTGTCTAGCCACTATGCTTTGATTTTGTGCCGTTGGCAACTATTTTTTTAAGACAATAATGAGAAATGTAACAAATAGTGAATCTTCAATGATAATTTTTTTTAATTTGGTATTCTACACTTCTGTTTTTCTATTTTCTTTAATATTGTCTGTATTTGAAAAAAGTGAACAATACGAAATATAACAACCATTGTTAAATTTCTTTCATTCTCTTTTGAATACCTGTATTGCTATTGTTTTGAATCTGCTGTTGTTGTTTATGCCTTTTGTTTTTTGTTTTTGTCTGATTTTTGTTTTTTAAATTAAAAAAAAATAATTGATCCTAGGGCATGAACTAGACGTGGCCCTACCAGAAAACAAAAACACCTGGTTCAGCCACTTGAGGAAGTTGCTACAGCCCAGAAAAACACCAAGCTCCTAGACAATCCAAGCAGTGCGTTGCTAGACAGAGGGGCTGAAATTGACATCATCTTTCCCAGTTTAATAATAAACACCGCTGCATTGGTTGAACAGTACCTTTCCTTCCATCAGAAGGATAAGGACTCCACCTGACCCTAGCTTTGTCTCTTCTTTTTTCTCATCATCTACGGTCCTTAACCCCAAGAACCTCAGAAACTGCATTGGGTTGTGGCACACTTTCTTCTGAAAACACCAATCTTTGCTTTCTGGATGTCATAAAGAACTCCTAGACCTTGATTATCATTCTAGGTCTTTCTTTTGTCATCAGTCATTTGAGGGTTTTTTAACTCAATTCAGAGAGAAATCATGAACTGGCAAACCACAGCTCTGTTCATCATCATTGATACCAGTCAACACAGGTTGCTGTCCCTTGGGTTCTAGCACTCTTCGAGTTAACAGTTCCTAGTATGTATAGCTCTTTCTGTGTCCACACCACTCGGGATAAAAATTTATAGTAGATTCATTAGGACTTTCCAAGTTCACCAACACCCAAGAAGTAAAGCTTAAGAAGATACACAAGAAGACTGGAGAGGTTTTGTTTGAACAGAACCTGTCCTGCTGCCTGGGGGTGAGTATACCTGAGAGAGACCCTAAATCAGTGATGATGAACCTTTTAGAGACCAGGTGCCAAACTGCAACTCAAAACCCACTTACTACAAAGTACCACACTGCATTTAAATACTGAATTAAATACCGAAGTTTTCATTTAGAAAAAAATGTTCTAAAAGAGAAACATTAACACATGGCCTGTAGGTTACCTAAATCAGCCCTAGAAAAAGAGTGCTACTTACATAGAATGCCTGTGATTAGTCCAAATTCAGACCTGCGAGTATCTAAATTTGAACTGCTGATTGGTCCAAACTGGTCTAAATGTAAGTCTGCTATCTGCACCTGTCGATTGGTGCAAACTCAATTCTGCTTAGTTCAAATTAAAGCAAAGCAGATGTCCAGACCAGGTGTGGGATGTCCAGAACAGCTGTATCTGTCATGGCGGTGGACTATAGGAGGCTGCAGGTGTTTCATATCTGTCTTGTCTCTTAAGAAATTGCAGGGCCAAAACTAGGAAATCTGCATAAGAGGTTAGTTCTGTTAATCACAGTTTATTGGAGCTTGTGAGGGTTGGGATGTTAATAATGGGCCTCAGCTCTGCCATGTTAGGGGTGGTTTCCCTACTGCTGCTTTAAAGAGACCACAGCAGCTAGAGCTGAAAAGGAGGACACTGCTGCCAACAGTCTGGCTGCACCTCAGTACCCCAGAGAGAGGCCATAAGGAAACCTGAAGTGTGGGAGAGCACTCGGAAAGAAGAACCAAAGGGTGCCAATGGAAATTGGGGACAGGGTGTGACAGCTGTAGACAAACCAGAAACCATGCCCAACTAGGCATTATGGGAAGAGTCCGTCTTCTCTTTCCATCGTGTCTTTTATAGAAAGCCTGTTTCGCTGATCCTATAGTTTTACCACCCTGTTAGCATGGGTCACAACTTTAGGTATATTTCCTATGAAAAAAGCATATGGTAAAATTTTAAAGTTGTTGCAAATCTTAATGTTTATTCTACTCTTTCAGATCCAGATAGGTCCCTACTTCAGCTGGAATTCTGGTTTAATTTTGCCTTAGAGTTTGAAAGCATTGGTTGGTACTGTCTTAAGTGTGCAAAGCTGCAGGGAAATTGCAGTGCCATCACTGTTCTCTGCGTGTGGATGTTGGGCAGGGATACAGTTACTTTTTAAAATTCGCAGCCTTCTCATTTCAGGATCGTGTGCATTGTGACATGTGATGTATGTGTCCTTTCCGTTCTTCGTGCTGGACACTTGGCAAACCATTTGAATCCAAAAAGGCAAGCCCTTTCTATGTTAGGAGGTGTTTATGTACTGTTTGTCTTATATTTCACACTCTTCCTCCCTTGCTTTGTCTTTGTGGAATTCCTGTTACTGTATTCAGGTCTGAAACACTAGTTAGAATCTCTGAATTTTATTATTATTATTATTATTATCTTACTATTTTTCATTTCTTTGGCTTTTTGTTTCACTTTCTGAGTAAGGTACTTTCTCTGTCAGACCTCTGGTGAAATGTCTTTAATGTGTTTCTTCTTTCTTAGATGCAGTATTTCATGTCAGGGAATGTTCTATTTTATTGGGGGGTATTACGTTTTATTGGGGATGTTGTATTTTATTGAGGATGTTAGATTTTATTGGGGATTCTGTTTTGTGGTTGCTCTGTTTTGCTTTGCCTCTTTTCTGTTGTCTGTGCTTTGTGTGTTTTGGTCTTGGTGTTAGAGGCTTGCCTGGAGACATCTTTGACTTGCCTCATATGTTGCAGATGTTTGAAAATGATGAGAAAGATGGAGACTTGTTCTCCACTATTCTTTGTACTGTATGATGAGTAGGTATGGATCCTGCTGTTTCACTGGGGTCCTCCAGATGTCAGT